TAAAGTTATTGAGGTTTTCTTAGGATTTTTTTTTCTTACAAAGATTTGTTGCTTTTACTACGGATTTTGTTGTTTACAAAGGGCCATATTTTTCTTTATTGCTTCGGGGCACCATTTTTATTGGACCGGCCCTAGTTTTGATGGGCTATTTATGCATATCTTTTATAAATGATGCATTATATGGTTATTTATGAAACTTTTGTTTTATATATGTCTAAACGTTTTTTGTATTTTCCTCTCTAGCCTATGTAAACTTAGGAAGGACTATGCATCCAACATTCGCAACATTTTGGGAGTTTAACTTTAAAAGTTACAGAATACATAAATGATTAAATTGTGCCAATTCCAACACTTCTTTCTCAAGAAATCAAGAAGAAAAATATAAATCACATATACTTTCGAAAGTAACATAGACAGTGTACAAGAAAACAATTGACTACCTCATCTTATAATCTAAGACAAAGGTTTTGAAGTCTGAATTGAATTCGATAAAAGCATAGAGCTCAAACTCATTGCTTTAATACATCAAATCATTATATTATTTCTTTCATTTTAACATTAATATATAAAAATTGGTAGATATTCTCAATAGAAGAGATTGTGTGTGTCTTTCTAGTGGCTGGAGAGCAATGGAATGCTCTGCTCATACCGGAAAAAGTTGTCAGGGTCAACTCTGCTCTTAACCTTAACCAATCTATCGAAGTTATTCTTGAAATACTTCACTCCGTACACTTTACCTTCATCGTACGTGGAATTCAAGCTTTTTCCAATGTCAATGTCTCTGTAGTTCAAAAACGCCTCTCTTGGATTCTTCGACACGTAAGGGCTCATTGCTTCAAACACTTTTTCCGTTTGGCTCAAGCAATCTTTAGCCACTGCTTCGCCTGGCACGAACCAGTTCGATGAGTACTGGATCTTGAACATGTTTCCTGCTCGGTGCGGGAACGCGGTCTCGGTCGATGGAATCTCGCTCATTCTCCCTCCGTAAGGGTTCCAAGCCATTGTGACGTTCTGGTTCTCTATAAGAACCTTGAATATCGCCTCTAAACCGGCTCTTGATATCGGTTTTTGGACGTAATCGGATTTTCTCTTAAGGTAGATTTGTTTTTGCGGGATCCGGTTTAGCATAACCGTTGTTGGTGCTGAGCCGGGTGGGATATTGAGCCAGAACAGAACCGATTCGATCCATTTCATTTCTATGCAATCTGTTTTATTCAGACCAAGCTGAGGGAATTTCGCGTTCATGATCTCTAGAAGCTTTGATGAGTTTCCGAGGTACATTCCCATGAAAGAAGCCTTCAGGGTTTTGTTGCTTGCGCCTAAAGTTAACCTAATAAACAAATCGTTGTCGATCTTGTCTGCGATCTCTTGCCATTTAGCTGCAAGTTCCGTGGTGTTCACGCCTCCTCTGTTTCCGACCGTATCGACATTAAAGACTGTGACTTTCTCGGGCGTCGGAACAAGCTTGATCTTCCAGGCAAAGACAACACAGAAACTAGCGGCTCCACCACCTCGTAAGGCCCAGAAAAGATCTTCTCCCATTGAGCTCCGGTTCAAGAGTCTTCCTTTAGCATCGATGATCTTCGCGTCTATAATGTTATCAATCGATAAACCGTATTTCCTCATCATGTTTCCGTAACCTCCACCGCTAAAATGCCCTCCGGCGCCTAAACCGGGGCAGACTCCAGCGGGAAATCCGCGGAGATTGTTAGTTTTGTTGGCGATACCGTAGTAGATTTCTCCAAGCACAGCACCGGATTGGACCCAGGCGGTGTCGAGTTTAGGATTGATCTTGATAGACCGGAGATTGAACATGTCTAAGACGACAAAATCGACTGGCGATGAATACGATAATCCGTCGTAATCGTGGCCTCCGCTTCGAATCCGGAGCTGGATGTTGAGTTTTTTGGCGCAGTTGATCGTAGCTTGAATGTGAGTGACATCGGCGGCCGCTACGATCGCCACGGGTTTATGTGACGTGCTGTTGAAGTAACGAAGGTTACGGACATAGTTGTTAAGAATTGTGGTGAAGTTAGGGCTTTGTTGCGTGTACATGAAGTTTTTGATTGGGGATTTTGGATTTGAAGGTTTGAAATCGGTGATGCATTGTGCAAAAACGTTCTCGAGTGATGGTGGTAATGCGAATGATGTTGGGATTGAAATGAGAAAAATGGTTGTGATTAGGGTGTGGATTGTTAGAGATTTCATTTTTTCTCTGTTTGTTGTTGATTATGGTTTGGGGTTCTACGTTTTTATATGAAAATGATCGGCTATTATTACAAGATTTGTTAGACAATAATCGGCTATTCTTGTAAATTAATATCTTTTTGGCATCTTGATATCTTTGTCAATTAGGCAATCTAGAGATTTAGTGCTTAAATATGGCAATTTTTGTTTCCTATCTTCTTACATATCTTAAATTATATA